AGTCTCGTAAAATGCAATGCAAACAACATTGTGTCCGAAAACAAACAAACAAACAAAAAACATTAACGTTACAAGAGGACATTTGCTATTGGACTTTTTTTGTTTTTGTCGCTACAATTTAGCGAGTCCTTATAGAAATTTATACATGTTAAACATGTATTCATGAAACAACCACCTGTGAGTTCAAACCCAAACACCCAAATTTGATTTAGTCATCGGACCGATACCATATTAAAAAAAAAAAGACCAATATCGGCTGATACTGATATCAATACCAATATTTCGTGCATCCCTAATTTTTGTAATAAACATGAATGCATTTTGGGAAAGATAACATTAATAACATGTTGCAAAACAAATTTCATGTCGCTGAGATGAACGGTTGCTGAGATATTTGYATGTGAAGAAACAGGAAGTGATGTCAAAGGGGTATGTCAGCATGTAAACAGTGCGATGTTACAAAAGCTAACAACACAGACTGTAGAGAAGAATCTGATGTTTCTTTAGATTATTTTTAGTTGCTATCAAAGAGAGACAAAGAAGAGTTAAAGTTTAAATAATTTGTTTTAATGAACAGAGACCAGCGAGTTTATTTTATTAATGAGTTCTCCTTTGATGTCACTTCCTGTTTCACTTCGGCTGAGCCAAGTTCAAAAGAAAATAGGCCAGTTATGTGACAGAATGGGTTAAATCATGTGTACTATGCCAGTTTTCTTAAGTATAAAGATGCTTTCTTTGACCTTTTGTCTTTGAAGGATAGGCAGGCATGTCACAGGCACTTTAAACTCTTATATATAAGATTTATTTATTTATTGTTCTTGTCCTTTGTTAATATACTTTTCAGTAAAAGTTGCTGACTTGCAAATCCATGACTGATGTTTCTGCTGTGTGTGTGTTGTAGATAATTGCAGATAATAATTTTATGACATTGGCAGAGCAGTTCAACATATGTTTTGGAGGCAGAGTATGAAGTGGGATCATTGTAAAGCAGACGAATGAAGCCGTTTACGGTCGGCACAGAATGCTGGATCAAATCTGTCCAAATGTTTCTGTGTTCAAATCCTAACTTGATTCAAGATATTTCTGATTTWTTAGGTTATCTAAAACAAATACATAAATTAACCAATCCAGATAGCCAGTTAAGATGTTTTAATGCACAACTTCAATCCTAAACATCCAACATACTTTAGAGGAAAAAAAACAAAACAAAACAAAACAAAAACTAAAGAAGAAGAAGAAGAAGAAAAAACAAGTCCATGCAGTAATACAAAATTTAGACACTTTCTACAGGCTCATTTTAATTTGGCTRATTACCTGAAATCTGCTCTGTTTGGGTTCAGATAATTTTCCACTTTACAGGTTAGCAGCAGAATCGTAAGAAAAAGAATTGGAGGGAAACTTTAACAATCCGAATAAACGAGTTGGATTAGTAAACATATTTCAAGACAACCATGGTTATTCCCGACAACAGAAACTACTCAAAATGAACGTGAAAAGTTAAGCTTTTCTAAAGTTAAGCTTTGTTTATGTCTTGGCATGTCAATTACAAAAGGCCCTGTTGCCTCCCAACTTTTTGTTTGAGCAGAAGCACTGCCAATGAGGAGGGACGGTACTGGGACTAGAATTAGTGAAAGCCAGATGGCAAGACAGGGATGAAAAGGACAACTGGTTACCAGAGTCTTTATGCCTGCAAACCTGGTTAGTTCCAATTAAACAAATCATTTTAATTTATTATATAGCAAGGCAGGCCTGTGTTTTAGATGACATACATGCAAAATAATTCAGCTCCACGTTTACATGTGCAAGCTGCAACCTAAACAACAATAAATGGAGCCATCATAGGTTTATGATGGTTGAACTATGGTACAAAATAGTAATTTTTAATAAGAGCACTGATGATGTCACATCATTTCATCCTCCAGAGTGTGCTGGTTACTACCGAGATGCCAGCTGGTCTTTGAGTTTTTTGTTGCTCCCTGTGGGGCCAAACTTTCTGTTYGCAGACTCTAGAAATCAGATCCCCAAAAAAACAAACAAAAGAAAAAAAAGTTTAGAAAAAAGTTACAATGTAATCCATAACTATAATTCCATCTTAGGTTAGGCACTTTATTGCACTGACTCTTAGTTATTTTCCTGAGAAGTTCATCTCGTGACAGGGGCCGTTCTTCTTCATCAGTGAGAGAAGACTCCTCTGCCTTGCTGATGAGTGACACAAAATAAATTCATCAACTCCAGAAATGTTTGTACAGATTTAATTTCAAACATTCAGAYATGACAACTAACTTCTAAGGTTTACCTGTTGACAGCCAGTTGAATATTAAGACTTTGCTGAAGTCGGTCTTGATTCTGACCCAAAAGGCACATGGCCAGATCTGTTGAAYTGTAGTCCTTTTCCTGTAAATAYAYACACCTGCTGTTCAACAGGACAGAAATGACAGGACATGTGGAATATGCTWCAGAAATAGGAMWAAAACYAACACTTACTTTAGTTTTGAGGAAAGTGTGTACAGTGAGCAGCTCAGTTGTCTTCTGCTCCACAAGACCCAGGTTTGACATCATGTTGTTTTCAGTCATGCCCACAGAGGAGCCCAGTTTATGCTCAAAAACTGAGCGGTCACATACCATTTTAGAGATTTTGTTTATTGCTGAGAAACAGAAGAAACAACAATCACCTGCAGCCGCAGCACATATGGTTTTCACAACAGTTTATGGTGATATTCAGCATTCAGTTTGTTTTAATATACTGTATGTATGGTATTTATTCATGTATAATAGTAGAAATCAACCCTAAAATCATCCATAACGTGTGTGTGTGTGTGTTAGTGGGTTGGGTTTTGGTTACATTTGGCGGTAATTTTAAGACAAAAATCCTACATTTGGGGACAACTGGTGCATGGGGACAAACGTCGAGTCCCCATTTGGTTTAAATGCCATTGGTGGGTTGGG